CCATGCACATCAAACAGTGCCTGGCATAGTGGAGGCTCTCACTAGATATTTGTTGAATAGTGGACTTTGTGTTTAAGCATGGCATTAAAATATTCTGGAAACATTCATATTTATTTTCTGTGAGCAGCTTTATGCTTTTCTTATTACCACTAAAAGCACTGAAGGGAGGAGAGGTTTAGCTGTAGTAAGTCTGGAACCACATCTGCTCTCTGGGCTCCTCTCTGCATTTAGTGCTCTAATTTTTTCCCCCCAAACCCAAACTCCTAATTTATCCTTCCCTGCCCCTTCCCCCCTTGGTAACCATAAGTTTGTTTTCTATGTCTATGAGTCTCCTTCTGTTTTTTAAATAAATTCATTTGTATCACATTTTAGATTCCACATATAAGTGATGTCATATGGTACTTTTCTTTCTCTGTCTGACTTCACTTAGAATGATAATCTCTAGGTCCATCCATGTTGCTGCAAATGACATTATTTTATTCTGTTTTATGGCTGAGTTGTATTCTACCGTATGTGTGTGTGTATGTATGTGTGTACGTCTATATATATATATGTATATACCACAACTTCCTTATCCATTCATCTGTTGATGGACATTTAGATTGTTTCCCTCTGTTGGCTATTGTACATGTGCCGCTGTGAACACTGGGGTACACGTATCTTTTCCAATTGGATTTTTCTCTGGCTCTATGCCCAGGAGTGGGATTGCTGGATCATAGGTTGAGTCTATTTTTAGTATTTTGAAGATTCTCCATACTGTCTTCCATAATGGCTGCACCAAACTACATTCCTACCAGCAGTGTAGGAGGGTCCTTTTCTCCACACCTGCTTTATTTATTGTCTGTGGACTTTTTAATGATTCTTCCAGTGTTGTATTTTGCCATGGCTGAGAAGAGCCAGAACGAGTATAAATGTCTCTGCCAAAGAATGCAGCATCGGTGAAAGTTTCCAACACGGGCCTTCTTTCTTTGGATGCTCTTAACAGCCAGAACGTGTGTAGATTAGTGTGCTTTGTCTCTAGCAACATACCCGATGAGCAACTGTTGACAATGAATAGTTAACCGCCTACCTGGCCTCTTAAACCCTGTGTGGTTGGGAGGGAAGGTAGGAGGCGAGGCTTACAGACTAGGGACTAGAATAGGACAGTGTTGCAGAGGTCAGGACGTTTTGGTTTTCTTTTCTTTTTCTTTTCTTTTTTTTCTCTTTCTCTTTCTCTCTTTCTCTTTCTCTTTCTCTTTCTTTCTCTTTCTTTCTTTTTCTTTTCTTTTCTTTCTTTCTTCTTGAGGATCTGAGATAAATAGTGACACCTAAGAGGAGAATAAGCGGTGTGCAGGAATGTTGTGGTTTTGTAAGAGTCAGTGATGGGGTTCTCTCTCCCTTGGCCATGGCATCAAGTGTAGGGTGGGAAGTGGGCTGGCCCTCAGCTCAGGTGTGCGGAGTCTCATAATTGCAGGCGTGATATAACGAGAGATGCGGGGAACAGGGGCGGCAGGATTACTAGGGGTTGCACAGCCACGGTGGTGTTGGCCCGCTTCGACCCATTTCTCCTGCCGAGGGCGGCTCAGCACTGTGGAGACTACCTGACGACTCGGAAAAGTAAAGAAACGCTGGCAGTTGGGAAGGGAGTGAAAAGCCAGGTAAGCGGGGACAGGGGACCGGGAAGCGAGTTTCTCATTGTTTGTCTTTTCTCTCTGGCCTTGAGCCAGAGGTAGGCGCTCAGCAGAGCTGCAGCCATGGTGCAAAGGTAGCTAAAAACGAAGAGAAAGTCCACCTTTCTGACTTGAAGACCAGGAAAATGCAAGCTGGAGAGTATGGGGGGGTGTCTTTTTTTATTTTTGAATCACTGGGTGAGTGGGGGCTGGTGGGCAGCATACCCTTTTGGAGAGCCAGATTTAGCCGGCAGCTAAAACCTCTCTAGAAATCCTGTCGTTCTGGCCAGAGGAACCAGGAAAATGGGTGCCTGCAGTCTGAAAGGTATGGGAGAATGCCCCCCCCACCTCCTGCTGCTTTGTTTTTTTCTGCATTGCTCTCTAAGGGGGCAGTGTGGGCAGCTAGAACTCCCAAGAGAAACCCCACATTTGGGCCAGAGGATTGGGAGGGTCCTACAGAGGAGGGAGCTGGAAGGGGGTCCTCTCCGTGCACGAAAGGACCAGAGGCTGGGGCTCCTGCTGAGCTGCACGTGGGGAGACACGCCTGAAGCAGCAGAGTAGCAAAAACCTTGGGAGCTGAGGTGACACTGGAACCGTCGCCTGCAGGAGGGGACGCAGAACTTGCTGTCTGGGTCTAACCAGGCTGGCTGCCTGGTGTGAAGGAACAGACAACCGTGATGTTCTTCAGGGGATTTTTAACGGGACCCAAAGTCTGCAAACAGCTTCGTATTCAGGACGTTGCTCTACCTCTAAAAGTTCACAATATACCAGGAAAGTGTGACCAGTTCTTGATGCCAAACACAGTCAACGAATGCCAACCCCAGGGTAGCTCAGCTAATGGAATTCTGGGACGGAGACTTTAACGCGGTTAGGGTGCTCCCTCTGTGAGTTAGTCTCTGGACATGAATGGAAGGGAGCTATTCTTCTTCTAGGAGAAAACACAGGAAGAAATGTTCGTGACCTTGGGTTAGGCAAACATTTCTTTAGGTATAGCACCAAAAGGATAATCCACAAAAGAAAAAAATTTTTAGTTGGGCTCCCTGAAAATTAAAAACTTCTGACCACAGTTGAGAAACTAAAAAGATAAGCCACATAGGGGTATTTGGAAAATTGCTGTACCTTCCATGCAATTTTGCTGTGAACCTAAAAATTGCTGGAAAGGATAAATTATATTATCAAAAAAAAAAGAAAGCCACAGACTTAGGAGAAGATATTTTCAAATCACCTATCCAACAAAGGACTTGTTCCAGAAAATATATAGAGCTCTGAAAACTCAGTGAAAGTAAATAATTCGTGAAAAAATGGGGAGAAAGATTTAAGCAGTTGACCCAAGAAGATAGATTGATGGCAAATACCACAAGGTGGTCAGCATCATTTGTCATTAGGGAAATCCAAATTAAAAACACGAGAAACCACTTTATGTCCATTAGAATGGCTTAAAAAACCTGACAATACCAAATCCCAGCAGTTTCTTATCAAGTTAAGCATATACTTATCACATGACCCAGCAGTCCCACTCTTAGGTATGTATTTACTCCAAAGAAATGAAAACTTACAGAGGCGTTTTTCACGATTGCCAAAAACAGAAAACAACCGAAAGGTTCTTTATCTGGTGAGTGGCTACACGAACTATCCGTACAATGGGCTGCAGCTTAGCAGGAAAACGAATGAACCAGTGGTACCCATGTCGACATGGATGGACCTACTATGAATGTACCAGGTTAAGTGGAAGAAGCTTGGATGGTGGCTTGATGGGAACCTTTGGGGTGAGGGGGCTGTTCTGCATCTTGACTGTGGTGGGGGTTACTGACTCCATTGGTCTTAACTCTTAGAACTTTGTATGTTACCATATGTAAATTGATAAAAGGGAATCATTGTTGGGGGCCCATCTAGTTAGTTTTATCAGATCCTAAGAAGGTAGGTGTTCCACTCTGAGTGGACCATTATTTTTCACATGAAATACTGTCGCTTTTAGGTAGGTCATCAGCCCTCTTCGGCGGTGAAAGAGAATAGTGTGTCTATTCAGCAGACTTTGTAAACCTGTGATGTCTTTTTTTTAAAAGTGAATTTTGCGCTCCAGCTAACGGAATCTACCATTCTGCATCAGGGCTCTGTCCTAGTTGCACCCTTACCGCTTTTGGAATGGCTTCAGGACCCTTAGATACAAGAACAAGAGGGGTTTGCGTTTTCTTTTTAGACTTTAGTGCCCTGAATTGCTGTGACTGATGCCTGAAGGCTGGTCTTGGGGCTTGTGTGCAGAAGGAAGCGAGGTTTCTCTTGCTGGGGATTGTGACATTTTCTTTGGGACAGACCCTCTGTGTCCCAGGCTCCTCTCCATCCCTTCTGTTCTCTGGGGCCGCCTCTGAGATGGCTTGTGCAGAGCAATCTTAATGATGAATCACGCCAGACATTTTTCTTCTCTGCTTGTCAAAATTGTGATGATGACAATGTGTTACTCTCAGGGAAGGGCTTTGAATTTCAAGTTTCTTCAGTCGAGTCCGGGCTGCCTCTAGAGACATCCCAGTGGGGCACTGTTTGGGGGCAGGTGAGCCTTTTTGTGCTCAGTGTATTATGGGAAGATACAGCATTTTTGTTCTGCCAAAGCTGGAGTTCATGTGCTAATGGGCTTTTAGCTTTTTCAGACTTACTCCTCTTGAGAGTGGTGATCACCATTTAAAATTCGCCAGCCACCTTGTTGGAGGAAAGCGATGCTTTCTCCACAAGAGTATTGCACACTGTTGGTGAGGATCTAGAGGAGGTGGAATCAAATTGTTGCTTTAAATTTCTATGAAGTGGAGATAAACAGTCTCACACTCAGACCTAAGATAAGGCTCTGGTCACGTCAGCATCGTTGGGATTTGCATTTTGTCCTTGTGGATTGAGAGCTTTGAGAAAATCCACCTCTCTCTGATGCCAGGTAAAAAGCTTTCTCCCTTCCTTACACATCTTAGCTGCCCTTTCTTTTAATTAAAGTTTTTTCCTCGCTAATGTTGGAAGAGCTTCCTAAAGGTCACACTTGAACAGAGCTGCAGACGGGAAATGCAGATTATAGTATCCTGTGTTCTCACGGGGGAAATTGTCTCTTGAATCTCCCTGCCTCTGGAAAGTGCATTTTTTCTTTCTCATTTTTCAATTTTGGTTAAAGTAGTGCGTGTGGGGAAGGAAGGAATTTTTGCTGATATGTAGCTGCGCTGTTGGATGGCAGAGGAACAGAGAAGGCAGTCCAGCCCGAAAAGTGGGGCATGCCGGCTGAGCGCCTTGCAAATGTCACGCCTTGTGTGGCAAAAGGAGGTTGCACGTGCAATGCATGCACTTGTCCTCACTGCAGACAATGCCGTCTTATTCCAGCTGCAAAGTGTTTGCCCATGAAACCTCTGAATTTGATTTTGGGAGAAGTTGTCATTTGGTTTCTGTGGCCGTGAAGGGAGCCCCTGCCTGACAAGGGTGCTATGAGCGCTCAGTCCTTCTCTCTTCAGGTTAATGTTGTCGCGTGTCAGTACTCTTGGAGATAAAGAAAAGATTTTAATATAAGAAAATCAGCCATCCCACCAAAGAGAAATGCATTTTGTGCAGTCTACTCATCAGAGAAGAATGGAAAAGGAGGATAAGTTCAAAAGAGGGGCTTCAAGTGGTAGGAAGCTAGAAAAAGTGGAAACACCCATTACATTATCTCCTAAGTGTCAAATAAAATACCCGTGCAGAGACTTCCTAGATTGGCCTAGTGATTCGTGCCTCCTCCTTGGGTCGGTGTATGTTTGGGCTGCCCCATGTCACCTAAGTTAGGGGCTTACAAGGAATTCTCCTAGATCTGTCCGTTCTTTCATGTGAAGTGGCAAATTAAACAGCTTTCACTGGGTAGGGCTTGAGTTTGGACCTTGTCTTTTTTTTTTAAATTGTGTTTTTTTAGTATTTTATTTTTATTTATTTTTATTTTGGTGGGGGGAGGAGGTAATTAGGTTTACTTATTTATTTTTAGGGAAGGCACTGGAGATTGAACCCAGGACCTTGTGTATGCTAAGCATGCACCCTACCACTTGAGCTATACCTTCCCCCCTGGACCTTGTCTTTAAAGACAGAACAACTAAAAAGTGTGGAGATGGTGTCATGTGTCTTCTGAAGTCTAACCTAGTGAAGTTCACAGCTTTTTGCCGTAAGGAGAGTAAGACTAATTCAGTCGAGGGATCTGAATGATGCAACATGCAGAACGTCTATGAAGGCACACGGGTTTGCAGCTGTGTAGCCGTAGCTTAGTTCAGTCACTCGTGGAAGCGTGGTGAGGGTGGCAGTCCATCGGACTGCGCCGGGAGGAGGTGTGAGAGGTGTGTTGTCCCAGATGGTGGCATTCCTCCTTTAATTAACACGAATAGATTAAGGTTCAGCTCACACCTCTTTGGTTATAGTTTCCTTTCCTCACGTTGTACCGGCTTGCCACGTGTTAATAGCATCTTCTGTTCTGGTTTTGACCATTTTTGCAAATACTCATCAACTCCTCTGCTTAATTGCATGTTTTTCCTTCTTGTCATTGATTCTGTGTGTCTTTCGCCCTACAACCTCTGGTCATATTTACTGCTTTGAAGTGTAAGTGACTTCTTACGATCAAGCCACTTCCCCATACTGTGAGCCTTGCTGTTTCCAGTGGTTAACATGAATGTGCTGCAGTGGATAAGTCTGGGTCAGACATTTGTTTTCTTGTGTGGTTGGTAAGTTTCTGGAGTAGGCATGTGACCTGTTTCTATATAAATATAATTATATGTAAGGGCTTGCCTGTCTTCCAGGGCTTCCTTGAAATTAAATAGATAACTAAACGAGTTTTGAGAGATACGAGGTGGTGTCATTAAAGGTAGTTTCAGAAGATGATTCTTGAATCATCAGCCTCTGGCTGGCTGCGTCTCTTCTGCCTTGTAAATAGTCCTGTTATTTTTCTCTGTAGGTAGTTAGCAGGACCTTCCCAAAAGCTTTAGAAACTAAGAGACTTAAAACATTAGTGA